ACAGGCGTGCTTCAGGGGCGCGCCAGGCGCGCCACGGAGGGACCTTGCCGAGCAACCACAGCTGAGCGCCCCGGAGAGAAGCAGCTAGGCCTTCCGGCTCGGCCAGGGAGGGAGGAAACACCTAGGGGGCGTTACTGTGTGCACTGGTGTTACTGTGTGCACTGGCGTTACTGTGTGCACTGGTGCTACTGTGTGCACTGATGTGCTGGTGTCCTAGTTGTGTCTGCTGACGTACCTCGGCAGTATGTGTTGCATCATCTTGCACCAGGCTCTGGCTTGCAGGACCTCCACTTGATGGACTCTGCCGTTGCAGGATTTGGAGGATTTGTTCCTGAGTCTTCTTAATCTGGCAGAGGGCTTTCTCAAGTTCTGTCTGCTTTTGCAATATTTGGTGGACTACTGGATGAGCTCTTATCATGCGATCTAATATTGTTGTAACACAAACCTGAGTGACGACCTCCTGGGGTTCAGGAGTGCCTGGAGGGGGAGGCAGATGGGAGACAGTGGAGGGGTCTGATTCATTGGTATGGGTTTGGAGGTTCGCCTTGGATACAAATATTCATGGAGATATGGAATGGAAACAACAGTTGATCAGCGAAGTTGCAGAATCTGTGGTGAGAGTGATGGACACCGCCTTGACCACTATCTACGTGAATGTGAACACCTGAGAGAAATCAGAAATATGTGCAGAATAATAAACCCCACATTGTTTGAGTTAGGAAAACACTATTTGTCAAATATTGATACTGTTCTTAAAAGATTTCCCCATTTTGCACCCGCAAGATAACGTAAGCTTTTAAGGGTTGATAGATGTTAATCTTCTTGTTTGAGGAGCTGTTCACTTGAGACAGTTAAGCAAGTCCCAGCTGTGTCTGGGTACAAGTGACAGGATGAACAACCCAGTGGGTTTTCTTCCTATTGGGGAGTGTGGTACATGCTGCTATGGCGGTGTGTCCACTCACAAGATGAGTGGCGCTGCCCAATAAACTCGCCCCTCGGGGCAAAATTTAAATTTACCTAGGGGGCACAACACGTACCACAAGGGACACGGCGTTGGGCAACGCCAAACACTGGGGCACCCATAAACCCAGGGGGGGGGGGGGCTCCACGCTCAAGCGTGGGGGGTAAACACAGACACAAACACTGTACCTTAGATGTTGAGAAGGGCAGGACCCCCCTGACGGGTTGCTCTGAGTCATTGTCGATAGGAACTGGTGTAGGGTCCATGCTAGGGGCACAGTTGAGCAGGCTAAACTTCTGTGTTTACGTTTTGTAAGTGAGCAGCTGCTTGCTTGTCGGGAAGAGGGGGCCACACAGTCTGCAGGCCGAGCTTATATAACCTCGGCCCGTTGCGCGCGCAACTTGGGCGGTTAAAGTCAGCTTCCAGACATACGTTTTCTCTTCCTCAGAAAACCCACCGTTTTGGGAAAAAAAAGTGTTCTTTTTTTTTTCAATTTTATATATACAGTGGTACCTCGGAATGCGATTGTCCCTGTATGCGAGGTTTTCGGAAGGCGAGCAGTATTTACTCCAAAAATTTGTCTCAGAAGGCGAGGGTTACTTCGGGACGCGAGTTTGTTGATACGCGTACAGGCCGACCTAGCGCGTGGTGGTTCGGCGATCGTCGCCCCTCCGCCCCGCCGCCCCTCAGTTTACCATTGTCTCGCGCTCAGTGACTACCCCCACATCAATTCTTCTCGCGGATTTTCAGTGTTTTGTTGGATTTTTGGTGATTTGTCTATAAAATTTATTATATATCTCACCATGGGTCCCAAGAAAGCCAGTGGTAAGGATAAAGGCCAGAAAGCTCATGTGAGGATGACAATAGAGGAGAAACAAGAGATCATTCGGAAGCATGAGAACGGTACACGTGTTGTTGAACTTTGTAGGCAGTACAACAAAGCCACATCAACAATATGCACTATACTTAAGAAGAAAAATAAGATTATGGGTGCTAAAGTGGCAAAAGGAGTAAGAACATTAACGGCACAAAGACCACAAATACTTGAAGAAGTGGAAAAGTTGTTATTAATTTGGATACACGACAAGGAGTTGAGGGGTGATAGTGTTTCGGAGGCCATTATTTGTGAGAAATCCAGGGTGTTGCACGAAGACCTTCTAAGGAATACCCCTGCAACGAGTGATGCAGATAAGAAAGAGTTTAAGGCAAGCAGGGGCTGGTTTGAAAAATTTAGAAAGAGAAGTGGTATCCATAGTGTTACAAGGCATGGGGTTATGTGATGTGATTATGGAAGGGGACTCCCCTTCCAAACAGTAACTCCTCTCCTCCTCCCCCCTCCTCACCATCTTCCATACGCCTACAGCACTCGACAGCAAGGTAAGTAATAATTGGAACACAGTTTTGTAGGTTTATTTAGATGAATTAGGTAAATTAGGTATAAAAATTTAGTTTGATGTGGGGTTTTTAGGGTAGTCAGGAACGGATTAATTCATTTTCCTTTATTTCTTATGGGGAAATTAACTTCGGAATGCGAGTTTTCGGAAGGCGAGGCGTCTCCAGGAACGGATTAAACTCTTATTCTGAGGTATGCCTGTATATATATATATATAAGACGATTTTCATGAAACTTATACAATTGACTGCACATAAGGCTATCTGTAAGGGTGCCAATTTTGGAGAAAACTGGTTGATGTCAACCTCAGCCACAGATGGCAGCACCTTAGACTTTATTATTTTCTTATATATTTAAAATGTTTTAAAATAACATAAATGTTTGAATAACTTTTTTATTTTTTATTCAATTTACATGAAACTTACACCTTATATGTAAAGTATATGTCTCTAAACCCCCAACTTATCGTTTTTTCCTAAGTTCATTTATTGATTTTATAATAGCAATAAACATGACATATTTGCATAATTTTTTTTGCAAACTTTGAATATTTGTATTAGGAAAACTAAAGATGTTTTGGAAACTCCATAAGTTACGAACCTTTATTATATGCTAATGTGTCAGAAAAGTGTCATAGAATGATTGTACATGTATCTGAAAGGTGTGTTTTTTATTCACACTTGAAAATGTGTAAAAAAAATTGAAAAAACAAAAACAAAAATATATCTTCCTTTCTATTTACGCTGCAGTACTGAAACTTGGAACATTTGCAGCCCTTTTCATATACAACTAGTCAAAAAATATTGGTTGACATTGAACAACTTTTCCAAAACCGAGAAAATGCCCCCTAAATTTATCTCCCATTCGGTATCCAGTGTCTGGCCTCCTATTTCCTCCACCTAGTTTCATAATCTTACATTTACTTGGGTTGAACTTTAGTAGCCATGTTGGACCATTCTTTCAGTTAACTAGGTCATCTTGTAGCCTTATACTATCTTCTTCTGTCTTAATCCTCCTCATAATTTTTGCATCATCAGCAAACATTGAGAGGAACGAATCTTTTCCCTCTGTATAAATTACATCAGCTTTTGCTTGTCTTCCATGGTATCTAAGGCTTTATATACAATGACGATAACTACATTTATGATCTCTATTTTGATTATCAGCACTTCCACCAAATCGTTTGTGGTGTTTAGCAGCTCAGTACAGATGAATGTGTCTGATGTACCGGCTAACCCCTCCCTGTGTTTCCTGTCACATCTGAAAAGATTGTACTCTGAGATCCATATTTCACCATCATGGTAGTCCTTTGTGTGGGTTACCGCTAGGGCTGCAAAAACTGCATTTGCCTCATGTAGGAGGTTATCTATAAAATGAACTGTATAATATTTGCGTGTCTTTACACCCCTGGATGTTGGCAAATAAAACTGATGTTATCGTGTTTGTGGAAGTGCTGGATACTTTGTGTTAATATCTGAGGCTTTGGTAGGGAGGTCACTGTGTTTGTGTCCTCTCTAGCATTTGGACAAGTTGGTGCTACTCTACCATTGACAATAGGGGCGCCACAGGGCAGCATCTTGGGGCCTCTCCTATTTCTTATATAAATCAATGATTTGCCAAATGTTTCTAACATTCTTAAACCTATACTATTTGCAGGCGATACTACCTTCGTCTATTCTGACCCCAACCCCCACACACTAAATAATATTGTCAACAGTGAACTAAAAAAAATCCATGCGTGGATGTCAAAAACAAACTTACACTAAACATAGAAAAGACCTACTACATTTTATTTGGTAGTAAATCATAAAATCAGATTCAACTTCAGAAAGACAATGTTAACATTACCAATAAAAATGAGGGGAAGTTCCTTGGCCTATACATAGACCAGAGACTGAACTTCAGCACCCACAATCAACACACAGACAAAAAAGTATAAAAAACGATTGGTATACTTAATAAAATCAGATATTATGTTCCCTACTCTGCTCTCGTCTCAATATACTCCGCACTAATCTATCTCTATCTTACATATGGTATCTTTGCGTGGGATTCTACCACTGCAAATTACCTCAAGCCTATCAGAACTATAACAAACTGTCTTCAGACAACACACAGCCCCTCTGTTTTAGTCCCTTAACATACTAAACATACACCCACTCCACACATTCTCATGTGCTATCTACATATACAAAACCTTGTTCTTAAATGCTAAACTTGAACTAAAATATTTCCTTGATAGGTGTAATAAACCCATGAGCACCACACCAGAAATAAATATATCTTTGATATCCCATCAGACTAAATCTGTGTAAACACTCCATGCAAATAAAAGCACCCAGTCTTTGGAACTCACTTTCTGATGAATTAAACAATTGTCCAACTTATGCCCTGTTCACAAGAAAAGAAAAAAGTACCTAATTTTATCCTCATAATTGTGTTTCAAATTCACACTGTATCTTGTACTACTCACTTCCCCAATATTAGTACCATACTTAAGACATATATTCTTATCAGTGTAATCACCTCTGTCAACTTATGTTGTAGTTATTTGTTAATATAAAACCTTGCTACAATGTACCTTGTCATCATACCTGATATGTTAGATTAAGGACCTGCCCGAAACGCTTTGCGAAACGCTTATTATTATTATTATTATTATTATTATTATTATTATTATTATTATTATTATTATTATTATTATTATTATACAAGTGTAAGTATATTAAAACCAAAATTTCGGACGAAGAACCCAAGGTGTGGTGTCACATCTCTAGGGTCGAAGAACAGGAAGTAGTGTCACCCAGCAAGCAGCAGGGTCCAACAAGCAGCAAGTAGCAGGGTTCATTATATCTTGTACTTCACTTAAGAACTAGGTAACTTGAGGTTTCCTGGGAGCTAGCTGAAAAATAAAATGATTTAAATTAAACCTCCTAGACTAAAGACACATACACATACACACACACACACACACACACACACACACACACACACACACACACACACTTCAGTTCAGTTCAGTTCAGGAGAGGACATTATGGTGACCTTAGAAATTTTTTTAGTGAGTATAATTGGACAGACTTGATGCTAGGCAAGAAAGTGAATGAGATGTATGTCAAGTTTTGTGAAATATATGATAAAGGCACAAAAAAATTTATACCAAAACAGAGATGCAGAACTAGGAAACAGGATTGGTTCAATAGAAATTGCGAGAGGGCTAGAGACCAAAAGACACAAAAATGGAATCAATACAGGAAGAGGCCGAACCCCCAAATATACCAGCGATACAAAGATGCGAGAAACAACTACACGGCAATGAGAAGAGAGGCAGAAAGAAATTTTGAAAAAGGGATTGCAGACAAATGTAAAACAGAACCAGGTCTATTCTATAAATTCATAAACAACAAATTGCAGGTAAAGGATAATATTCAGAGATTGAAAATGGGAAATAGATTCACGGAAAATGAAAAGGAAATGTGTGAAACACTAAACGAAAAGTTCCAAAGTGTGTTTGTACAAAATGAAATCTTTAGGGAACCAGATACAATAAGAATTCCAGAGAACAACATAGAGCACATAGAGGTGTCTAGAGACGAAGTGGAAAAAATGCTCAAGGAGCTCGGTAAGAACAAAGCAGCTGGCCCAGATGGCGTTTCACCATGGGTTCTGAGAGAATGTGCATCTGAGCTCAGCATTCCACTTCACCTGATCTTTCAGGCATCCCTGTGTACAGGAATCGTAGCAGACGTGTGGACATAGGCTAACATAGTTCCAATCTACAAAAGTGGCAGCAGGGAAGACCCCCTCAATTATAGACCTGTATCTTTGACAAGTGTAATAGTGAAAGTATTGGAAAAACTAATCAAAACTAAATGGGTAGAACACCTAGAGAGAAATGATATAATATCAGACAGACAGTATGGTTTTCGATCTGGAAGATCCTGTGTATCGAATTTACTCAGTTTCTATGATCGAGCCACAGAGATATTACAGGAAAGAGATGGTTGGGTTGACTGCATCTATCTGGACCTAAAAAAGGCTTTCGACAGAGTTCCACATAAGAGGTTGTTCTGGAAACTGGAAAATATTGGAGGGGTGACAGGTAAGCTTCTATCATGGATGAAAAATTTTTTGACTGACAGAAAAATGAGGGCAGTAATCAGAGGCAATGTATCGGAATGGAGAAATGTCACAAGTGGAGTACCACAGGGTTCATTTCTTGCACCAGTGATGTTTATTGTGTACACAAATGATCTACCAGTTGGTATACAGAATTATATGAACATGTTTGCTGATGATGCTAAGATAATAGGAAGGATAAGAAATTTAGATGATTGTCATGCCCTTCAAGAAGACCTGGACAAAATAAGTATGTGGAGCACCACTTGGCAAATGGAATTTAATGTTAATAAATGTCATGTTATGGAATGTGGAATAGGAGAACATAGACCCCACACAACCTATATATTATGTGAGAAATCTTTAAAGAATTCTGATAAAGAAAGAGATCTAGGGGTGGTTCTAGATAGAAAACTATCACCTGAGGACCACATAAAGAATATTGTGCAAGGAGCCTATGCTATGCTTTCTAACTTCAGAATTGCATTTAATTACATGGATGGCGATATACTAAAGAAATTGTTCATGACTTTTGTTAGGCCAAAGCTAAAATATGCAGCTGTTGTGTGGTGCCCATATCTTAAGAAGCACATCAACAAACTGGAAAAGGTGCAAAGACATGCTACTAAGTGGCTCCCAGAACTGAAGGGTATGAGCTACGAGGAGAGGTTAGAAGCATTAAACATGCCAAAACTAGAAGACAGAAGAAAAAGAGGTGATATGATCACTACATACAAAGTAGTAACAGGAATTGATAAGTTGACCAGACCACACACTAGAAATTGAAGGGACGACGACGTTTCGGTCCGTCCTGGACCATTCTCAAGTCGATTGTGATGAGGACAGGTAGGGACAGGCATTAAATAGGCAAGAGAGAGCTGAGGAGGAAAGTCAGGTTCAGAGGGTATTCCTGCAGTATTCCTGCAGAGGGATATGACAAGGGAAGAGAGAAAGCAGGCAGCAGACGTGAGGAAGGAGCACAGGGAGAGAGAAAGGATTCAGGGAGCCACAACCCCGATCCCTACAATCCCAGAGAGGAGTGGGGAACCCTCCTCAAACAGTGCACTAGGCACAGGGAGTGCGGCACCACCCCCACATTCTACCCAACAGACACCCTACCTGCCCCAACCCCTGTCAGCTCCCCACTAAGTACCCACCTAAGGCACCAAACCCCCACCCACCCCCCTCCTCCCACTCCCCCCGCCCCCCAGGACCTCCCTTCTCCCCCATCCCCCAAGCCCTCCCTTCTCCCACATGCCCTCCCGTCTCTCCCACCCACAAACTCTGTTTTCCCCCGCCCCCCCCTAAGCCCCCCTCTCTCCCCCACCCCACCTAAGCCTTCCCCTCTCCACCACTCCCCAAAACCCTCCCCTCTTCCTCACCCACCTCAGCCTTCACCTTCTCCCCCATCCCCCCAAACCACCTCCTCTCACCCCCCCCAACCCTCCCCCTCTCACCTCCCCCAACCCTCCCCCTCTCACCTCCCCCCCCCCCCCTCCACCTCTCACCCCCCCCTTACCCTCCCCCTCCTCCCCCCCCCCAAGCCCTTCCTCCTCCACCAGTCTCCCTGCACCAGACTCTCCCAGCTCCTGCTGACCCCAGACCTCACAGGTCCCCCCCCCCCCCAGAGGAGAAGCAGAAGAGAATCAGTTTCAGGGTAATGTACTCGAACATAGATGGGATCACAAGCAAGGCAAGTGAACTAAGGGAAAGAGCACAAGAAGTGAACCCAGATGTAATCGGACTCACTGAAACAAAACTCTTTGGAATCATAACGAATGCCGTGTTTCCCCAGGAGTACACAGTAATAAGGAAAGAGAGGGAAGGTAGGGGAGGAGGCAGAGTGGCCCTACTCATGAGAAAGGAATGGAGTTTTAAGGAGATGGCTATCCCAGGCTGTGAGGGTTTCAGAGACTATATAGCAGGCACCATGACAATGGGAGGACCAAGGATAGTAGTAGCAGTAATATATAACCCTCCACCAAATGACAGAAGACCCGGTCAAGAGTACGAAAACAACAACATGGCAGTTAACACTATAATTGAGAGGGCAGCCTCTGCTGCCTGTAGAAATAGATCCCACCTGCTCATCATAGGGGACTTCAATCACGGAAGGATTGATTGGGAGAACAAGGAACCACATGGAGGCGAGGATACGTGGAGAGCCAAACTACTGGAGGTGGTGACTAGAAACTTCTTAACCCAGCATGTCAGTGAACCCACAAGGATGAGAGGAAATGACGAACCAGCGAGACTCGACCTGGTCTTCACCCTGAACGACTCTGACATAAGAGAAATCGGTTTTGAGGCCCCAGTAGGAATGAGCGACCACAGTGTATTGGTGTTTGAGTACCTGATTGAAGAAGGGTTATTGAACTCGAGGAGGGATACCGAAACCAAAAGGTTAGCATACCGAAAGGGAAACTATGAGGAGACAAGAAAATTACTAAAAGATATAGCATGGGAAACAGAGCTCAGGGAAAAGACGGCCCAAGATATGATGGACTACATCACGCAAAAGTGCAAGGACGCAGCAAACAAGTTTGTCCCAGCCCAAAAGGAAAACAGTGAAATGAAGATGAGAAACCCATGGTTTAATCAGAGATGTAGGCTACCTAAGCAGCAAAGTAAAAGGGCATGGAGAAACTATAGGAATAACAGGACACTGGAGAGCAGAGAAAGATACCAGAATGCCAGGAATGAATATGTCAGGATGAGAAGAGAGGCAGAAAGACAATACGAAAACGACATCGCAAGCAAGGCAAAGACTCAGCCTAAATTGCTGCATAGCCACATCAGGAGAAAAACAACAGTAAAGGAACAGGTTATGAAATTAAGGATAGGGGCAGAAGGATTCACTACAAACGACAAAGAAGTGTGTGAGGAACTGAATAGGAAATTCCAAGAGGTCTTCACCTTAGAGCAAGGAGAAATCCCAGAGATAAGAGAGGGAATAGCTAACCAGGAACCACTGGAAGAGTTTGAGATTACCAGTGGGGAAGTAAAGAAGTGTTTACTAAAGTTGGATGTGACAAAGGCTATACGCCCAGATGGAATCTCCCTTTGGATACTAAAGGAAGGAGCAGAAGAACTGTGCCTACCACTCTCCATAGTGTATAACAAATCTTTGGCAACAGGGGAACTGCCAGAAATTTGGAAAGCAGCTATACAAGAAAGGGGATAGACAGGAGGCACTGAATTACAGGCCAGTGTACCTAACCTGCATACCATGCAAGCTGATGGAGAAGATTGTGCGAAGAAAGCTAGTGGAGCACCTGGAGTGAAAGAACTTTGTAACGCAGCACCAACATGGATTTAGGGATGGTAGGTCCTGCCTCACAGGGTTACTTGAATTCTACGACCAGGCAAGAAAGAGAAGGGTGGGCAGACTGCATATTTTTGGATTGTCAGAAAGCCTTTGATACAGTGCCACACAAGAGGCTAGTGAAAAAGCTGGAGTGAAAGGGAAGGTACTCCGTTAGATACAGGAGTACCTAAGCAACAGGAGACAACGAGTCAGTGTGAGGGGTGAGGTCTCAGATTGGCGAGACGTTACGAGTGGAGTCTCGCAAGGGTCAGTCCTTGGACCTATACTGTTTCTGATATATGTGAATGATCTTCCAGAGGGTATAGAATCGTTTCTCTCAATGTTTGCCGATGATGCAAAAATTATGAGGAGGATTGAAACTGAGGACGATAGTATGAGGCTACAAGATGACCTAGACAGACTGAGTGAATGGTCCAACAAATGGCTGTTGAAGTTCAACCCGAGTAAATGCAAAGTAATGAAACTAGGCAGTGGAAACAGGCCAGACACAGGATACAGAATAGGAGATGAAGTACTTAATGAAACGGACAGAGAGAAAGATCTAGGAGTTGATATCACACCAAACCTGTCTCCTGAAGCCCACATAAAAAGAATAACGTCTGCGGCATATGCGAGGCTGGCTAACATCAGAACAGCGTTCAGGAACCTGTGTAAGGAATCGTTCAGATCCTTGTATACCACATATGTAAGACCAATCCTGGAGTATGCGGCCCCAGCATGGAGCCCGTATCTTGCCAAGCACAAGACGAAGCTGGAAAAAGTCCAAAGGTATGCCACTAGACTAGTCCCAGAACTAAGAGGCATGAGTTACGAGGAAAGGCTGCGGGAAATGCACCTTACGACACTGGAAGACAGAAGAGTAAGGGGAGACATGATCACAACCTACAAAATCCTCACAGGAATCGACCGGGTAAACAAGGATAAACTATTCAACACTGGTGGGACGCGAACAAGGGGACACAGGTGGAAACTGAGTACCCACATGAGCCACAGAGACGTTAGAAGGAACTTTTTAAGTGTCAGAGTAGTTAACGGATGGAATGCATTAGGCAGTGATGTGGTGGAGGCTGACTCCATACGCAGTTTCAAATGTAGATATGATAGAGCCCAATAGGCTCAGGAACCTGTACACCAGTTGATTGACAGTTGAGAGGCGGGACCAAAGAGTCAAAGCTCAACCCCCGCAAGCACAAATATGTGAGTACACACACACACACACACAAACACACACACACAGGGAGCAGGAGACCAGATACAAGGTATCATTTGGGAGATGAAATACTTCAAGAGTCAGAGAGAGAGAGAAAGACCTGGGGGTTGATATCACGCCAGACCTGTCCCCTGAAGCTTATATCAAAAGGATAACATCAGCGTCATATGCCAGGTTGGCTAACATAAGAACGGTCTTTAGAAACTTGTGTAAGGAATCCTTCAGAACTTTGTATACCACATATGTCAGACCAATCCTGGAGTATGCGGCTCCAACATGGAGTCCCTATCTAGTCAAGCATAAGACTAAACTGGAAAAGGTTCAAAGGTTTGCTACCAGACTAGTACCCGAACTGAGGGGTATGAGCTATGAGGAGAGACTACGGGAATTAAACCTCACGTCACTGGGAGACAGAGGAGTTAGTGGGGACATGATCACCACATATAAGATTCTCAGAGGAATTGATAGGGTAGATATAGACAGGCTATTTAGCACAAGGAACTCACGCACTAGGGGACACAGGAGAAAATTGAATGCCCAAATGTGCCATAGAGACCTTAGAAAGAATTTTTTCAGTGTCAAAGTAGTAAACAAATGGAATGCGTTAGGAAGTGATGTGGTAGAGGCTGACTTGCACAGCTTCAAGTGTAGATAGAGCCCAGTAGGCTCAGGAACCTGTACATTAGTTGATTGACAGTTGAGAGGCGGGACCACAGAGCCAGAGTACAATTAGGTGAGTATACACACACACAGACACACACACATCTGCGGCATATGCGAGGCTGGCTAACATCAGAACAGCCTTCAGAAACCGGTGTAAAGAATCATTCAGAACCGTGTATACGACATATGTAAGGCCAATCCTGGAGCATGCGGCCCCAGCATGGAGTCCGTACCTTGTTAAGCACGAGACGAAGCTGGAAAAAGTTCAGAGGTATGCCACTAGGCTAGTCCCAGAACTAAGAGGCATGAGTTACGAGGAAAGGCTGCGTGAACTGCACCTCGCGTCACTGGAAAACAGGAGAGCTCGGGAAGACATGGTCACCACATACAAAATTCTCAGGGAAATTGACAGGATAGATAAGGATGGATTATTTAACACGGGTGGTACACGCACAAGGGAACACAGGTGGAAGCTGAGTACCCAAATGAGCCACAGAGACATTAGAAAGAACTTTTACAATGTCAGAGTAGGTAGTAAATGAATTGCTCTAGGAAGTGATGTGGTGGAGGCTGACTCCATACACAGTTTCAAGTGTAGATATGATAGAGCTTGAGAAGCTCAGGAATCTGTTCATCAGTAGATTGACTGTTGAGATGCGGGACCAAAAAGCCAGAGCTCAACCCCCGCAAGCACAACATACTCACTGAAAGAATAGAAGGTGAGGATAATACAAGAAGGGAGAACGATAATCATTAAGACTGCCTGAGATAACAACAGTAGACACCAAGACGGCCTGCCCTTGGAGAGAGCACCAGTGTGCAGCTCCTGAGAGAGTGACGCCCTCGAGACACCGACAGAGATTGTGTACAAATGTACACGCTGGGATCATGACCAAACTACATATCAGAAGATGGAGAAATGACAACTGGGCCATCCTGGACCATTATCAAGTCCTATGTGAGGGAGAGAAGAACTGGTTTGTTAAAGAATGAATCACATATATTTTAATTAACTGGCGGGAAGTAGGCTTGGCCTGGTTGTATGAAGTAGCAGGGTGCTACTGGGGGACATCCAGCTGGAGAGTGATTAATGATTCTGCATGAAGCAGTAGTATATAGTATGAATGATTCTGCTTTGCTTGTACTGTCGTTTCTTTTCCCCTCTCCATGAAATAATGATGAATACACTATATTACAAGAATGTTAGAAAAAATCCAAATTAATTTTTTTTAGTAGTACAAAATATACACATATACCTAAGTAAGCAGGCAGTGTCTTGTGTTCCCTCTATTGTTACTCCTACTATACTGTTGCTTACTTTTAACTCAGGGTACTTCACAGGAACACCAAACATGTAACGCTTCAGTGTTTGGGCTACGTTCATCCTAGCATTGTAGTCTTGGGCTTCCCTCCTATTGCCACCGTAGTCTTTGCCTGCATGGGATGCCTTCCAAATGTAGCCATAATCTTGTGCAGCAGAGGTCCTCTCCTTGTAGCCAATGCCTTTGTTGGCATCGGCTACTCTCCAGGCGGCGAAGTCTGTCTTCAGCCTGTGGCGGCCAGAGGCCATCGTGGTCATCGCTAGCAACACAGTCACTACAGCCAGCCAACCCTTCATGATGCTGACGTGATCCCTCGACCCTCGCCTGTCCTGTCACCTGCTCCAGTAGGAAGAGAGGGATGGAGGCCTGCTCTAGCATGGGTTGGTGGAGGCGTGCAACAGCAGAGAGGAGGTGTTGTAGCCAATTCCAGCAAGGGGGTGGTAGAGTCCCGCTCCTGCAGGGAGGGGACAGGGGTAAGCCTGCTCCAGCAACAGCTGCTGATAGAGACTACACTAGATGTGTTCGTTCCAGCAGGCGGAGGTGGTAGAGAAGTGTAATTGTAGTTCCAGTTGTAGTGAAGTGAAATGCTCCAGCAGGCTGTAGTGGTGACGACTACAGTGAAGTGCTCCAGCAGGCAGTAGTGGTGAAGACTACAGTGAAATGCCCCAGCAGGCTGTAGTGGTGACGACTACAGTGAAGTGCTCCAGCAGGCAGTAGTGGTGACGACTACAGTGAAGTGCTCCAGCAGGCAGTAGTGGTGAAGACTACAGTGAAGTGCTCCAGCAGGCAGTAGTGGTGAAGACTACAGTGAAGTGCTCCAGCAGGCAGTAGTGGTGAAGACTACAGTGAAATGCCCCAGCAGGCTGTAGTGGTGACGACTACAGTGAAATGCCCCAGCAGGCTGTAGTGGTGACGACTACAGTGAAATGCCCCAGCAGGCTGTAGTGGTGACGACTACAGTGAAGTGCTCCAGCAGGCAGTAGTGGTGACGACTACAGTGAAGTGCTCCAGCAGGCAGTAGTGGTGACGACTACAGTGAAGTGCTCCAGCAGGCAGTAGTGGTGACGACTACAGTGAAGTGCTCCACTTCGTGGGGGCTGGGTCCACCAGTGAAGGACATGTGTGCTCGGGAGGCAAGCAACGCCCCAGGCAGAGAACACTTCTCTACCAGAACTGACTAGTGTCCAGGTTGAGGAAGGAACTCTCGGTGGTTTTATCTTGGCCTTCGTTCATGCTCTGCCAGATAGTATCTTGCTGCTTTTAATGGATTTTCCTCTCTAGTTATGTGCTTTAATTGTTGAGTGCTTTGCCTGCTTTTAAATGCTTGCCAGAATGCGCACCCACTTATAAGGTGAAACTTTTTAACATTAGATGAGGTATGAGACATCTTCCCAGAACATTGCCAGCCTAGTGAAGCGTACTTGCCCGTTTCCCAAGTTCATCACAACTTGCATTGTAATCATTCATTTCATCACAATTCATAATTATCTTGTATATCACTTCTCTTGCGATATCCTGTAAATGCTTCTTCAAAATCGACGTAAATTCTTCATTTACTCAAATGAATGATTAATTTTAATCTAGCGGTGTACAAGCTGGCAGTCCGCATATATGCTTCACATCATTTTATGTTGAGAGTTTGGCAGGAGCAGTCAGCAGAGGCAGCGTCATGTATGTATCAGAGACTGGAAAGTCATTAACCAGTTCTAAATTCTCTCAATATTTTGGTGGATAAGACTGGTTCTTCCAGGTAATCTGTAACTCAAACTAGAGCGCACCTTGAGCACTCGTCTGTGCTCAAGCACAGACGAGTCGGGGGACTGTCTGCTTGTCCCCCGACACAATTTATTACTATTAAACTGTTTATACTGTGATATACGGTAAGGCAGTAGATCGGTGATATGTTACAAGTTCTGAAGGTCCGAGTCTGAGCCTCCTGTACTCCACAATGGAAATCAGCAAACTCATGTCTTAATTATTTGCACAATTATTGTTAAGTCTCTGACGATCAGGGCCTTCACTGCCAGACCTTAACGGTTAAGGTTAAGATCAGTGTTGGAGCCTACCCTGTGATAATGAGGCTGAGCTCAGCAGTGTTGGAGCCTACCTTGTGATAATGAGGCTGAGCTCAGCAGTGGAGCTAGTCGTGTAATCTGCTGGTTGTACTCGGCCTGGTTATACATGTGGGGGTTGAGCCACGGCTCTTGGGTCCCGTCTCTCAACACATAATAGACTGAGAAAATCGGAGCCGTGATGAGGATTCCTATGTGCTGGGTGTTCCCAGACGCACGCTCTAGTCTAGACGACTGCGTCACGACATGGTAAAAGACGTTCATAGGTTCGAATCCTCATCGCGGTTCCAGTGGACTTTTTCATTGATATATCACGATATTGTGACTTTTCTGTGTGCTTAACCGACTGGTGTATAGGTTCCAGAGTCTATTGTGTTCTGTCCTTGTCACGAGTCTGTGGCATTTGTTGTGGTAAAGTCTAGTTTAACTTACATTCTACTGTGCTCCTGGCCTGCCTTACTAACTTACAGGACACAACCGAGCAAGACCACCAGATGGGGTGGGTCAAGACCCGGCCCTCAGAGTCAAGACCCCGCCCGAAGGGTCAAGACCCGGCCCCCTAGGGTCCAGACCCGGCCCCCAGGGTCTCGAACCGGCCCCCAGGGTGAAGACCCGGCCTCCAGGGTGAAGACCCGGCCCCCAGGGTGAAGACCCGGGTCCCCAGGGTCAAGACCCGGCCCCCAGAGTCAAGACCCGGGCCCCCAGGGTCAAGACCTGGCTCCCAGGGTCAAGACCTGGCTCCCAGAGTCACAGTCCTCTCTGCCACAGTCTTCTCTGACACAGTCCTCTCTGCCACAGTCCTTCCTGACACAGTCTTCTCTGACACAGTCCTCTCTGACGCAGTCCTCTCTGACACAGTCCTATCTGGCACAGTCCTCTCTGACACAGTCCTCTCTGGCACAGTCCTCTCTTACACAGTCCTCTTTGACACAGTCCTCTCTGACACAGTCCTCTCTGGCACAGTCCTCTCTTACACAGTCCTCTTTGACACAGTCCTCTCTGGCACAGTCCTCTCTGACACAGTCCTCTCTTACACAGTCCTCTTTGACACAGTCCTCTCTTACACAGTCCTCTTTGACACAGTCCTCTCTGACACAGTCTCTCTGACTCAGTTCAGCAACAGATTGACTCTCCCTGCCCATGCTGCCCCATACTTGTCATAACTGCTCTTCCCTGGTAATCTTCTACAACCACCAAGCTCCTATATTGTTCTCACAAATATGATGTAACCTTCTGGCTGTCTGTTAATTAACTAATTTACTCACTAACATCTCTTAAAACTAGCCAGGAGCTTACATAGTATTAATCGTTTGCCCGTAACGCTGCGCGAAATAGTGGCTTTAGGCATAGCATGTTCTAGCTTTATTTAGAAATTCAACATTCTGTTTGTAATTCCTCTTGTATGTAGGTACTTTTACCGAAATAAACATTTATTTATTTATTTATTAATCAGTCATGAGTTGGCAGCATTCCGAGATCCCAACTGGCCCAGACTTAATGTGTACACCATCTGTTTGTAATATATCATGTTCCACTATCCAAGACCATCCTGGTCATAACAGTCATATCTACAATTTAAGGTGTATGTGGAGTATGTGTCCACTGCTTCACTTCTTAGCATGTTCCAACTGATCACAACTCTGCCATAACAAAATTTGTCTGGTGTCTCTGGCTTATTTAGGTATTTAGTTTCCATCTATGTTTCCTTGTTTGTGTACTACTGGTGCTAAATAATCTGTCTTTGTCTGCCCTGTCTATACCCCTGAGTATTTTGTATGTAGTAATTATGTCTTCCTTGTTTCTTGTCTCTTCTAATGGCATGAGGTTTAACGCCTGTAGTCTTTCCTTGTAGTTCATACTTCTCAGCTTCAAGACTAGTCTAGTGGCATACCCCAGGACTTTCTCTGGCTTCATTTTGGGTTTAATGAGATAAGGACTCAACGCTAGTTCTTCGTATTCCAGAATTGGCCTGATGAAAATGATAGTCAAGATTCTGAACGGCCCTTCAGATTTCTAAAAGCTGTTCATAGAATTGTTCTGTGAATTCTATCGACTTCACAGGGGCAAAATGTATTGTTAAAAGTAACGATTTTGTTGAACGAAACGTGATCGAGTCTGCTCTGATCAAACATTGTAACAACAGCCTTAATGTGAGCCCCGGTATGTACAAGTTGGATCCCTATTTAAGCCTCAATATAGCACGTCAAAACAATATAGCAATCATTTAACACGTATGGCACTTGGAGATATTAATAGGAGCTGCCTCGTATGGGCCAATAGGCCTTCTGCAGTTACCTTCTTTCTTATAATTCCTTTCCTCCACTTATTTTTGGTGGTCAGGTGATCCGCCCAGGCGGATATAAAGGTCTGATCAGCAATCTTATCTTCATTCTACTTTGCTCTGATGAAGGCGAATTAGCCGAAAACGCGTTAAGCATTTTCTATTTTTCATATGTGGTTATTCTGCATACTTGGATCAGTGTTTTTGTGATCATTGTTGCATATATATATATATATATATATATATATATATATATATATATATATATATATATATATATATATATATATATATATATATATATATATTGGCTAATAAAAGAACACACACACACACACATACACACACACACACATATATATATATATATATATATATATATATATATATATATATATATATATATATATGTGTGTGTGTGTGTGTATCACGAAAATAAACACGTGATTAAAAATGTGACAGTGTCAGACCACGGAGGAAAATTGAAACAGGAATTTCCTTAAGTACTTTCGTATGTTAATTCATCTTCAGAAGGAGTGATTTTACAGGTCGGATATTGGACATAAATAGGCAGGAGAGAATGGTGGAGTGAGGTGAGGTACAATACGTGGACACTGCAGACGGCCTATTGGCCCATCCGATGCAGCAACCACACACAAGCCCAAACATGGATAATTATAGCATAAAATAGTAAATATTTACAATGAATTAGTGAGACAAATGTGTTCCAATGATCCTACTTAAATCGCCCTTTAATAATAGATCAATTAAAGGGCGATTTAAGTAGAATCACAAAGTCCCCGTGTAGTAAAGAGTCTGAGCTGAGCGGTGGAGCCTGCTGTGTGGTGGACGCGGTTATCATATTAGTAACCTTATCAAAAGGATCCACATACACAGTGCGCACTTTGCCAGGAACGTTCTAAATAAAAACAGGTTTTTATATTTTACATAATTAATTTGCACTCTCATCTGCGTAAGAAGAAAAATTTTGATATGACTTAATTTGATAATAATATTATATGACACTATCGACATCCGCACTATGAGAGTGTACGATAATTAAGTGTCAAAATGTTGAGCGGATATAACTTTAAGAGGACAAGACAGACACAGAAGGCGAGAGTCGAGGGATCACGTCAGCATCATGAAGGGTTGGCTGGCTGTAGTGACTGTGTTGCTAGCGATGACCACGATGGCCGCTGGCCGCCACAGGCTGAAGACAGACTTCGCCGCCTGGAGAGTAGCCGATGCCGGAAAAGGCTTTTTCTACAAGAAAGTAAACCCTCTAGTCCACAACTACAACAACATGGCACCTGCAGTGGACCAATATTACAACTTCAGAAATGGTGCTGTCGGTAGCCAGGACTACAACTACTGGGAGGAAAATACTGCCTATCAAAACAACGATGCTTTGAAAGACTTTGACTCACCCGTCAGGCGGGAGATGCATCCGATAATGGTAAATTATAAACAATTCATAACGAATATAACTGTTAAATGTAGACTCTCAGCTTTTGTCAACCATCAACCCATCAACCGCCCTTTGTCTCTCACATACCCAAACACCGCCCTCAGTCTCTCACATACCCAAACACCGCCCTCCGTCTCTCACATACCCTAACACCGCCCTCCGTCTCTCACATACCCAAACACCGCCCTTTGTCTCTCACATACCCAAACACCGCCCTTTGTCTCTCACATACCCAAACACAGCCCTCAGTCTCTCACATACCCAAACACCGCCCTCAGTCTCTCACATACCCAAACACCACCCTTTGTCTCTCACATACCCTAACACAGCCCTCAGTCTCTCACATACCCAAACACCGCCCTCCGTCTCTCACATACCCAAACACAGCCCTCAGTCTCTCACATACCCAAACACAGCCCTCAGTCTCTCACATACCCAAACACCGCCCTCAGTCTCTCACATACCCAAACACCGCCCTCCGTCTCTCACATACCCAAACACCGCCCTCCGTCTCTCACATACCCTAACACAGCCCTCAGTCTCTCACATACCCAAACACAGCCCTCAGTCTCTCACATACCCAAACACAGCCCTCAGTCTCTCACATACCCAAACACCGCCCTCCGTCTCTCACATACCCTAACACAGCCCTCAGTCTCTCACATACCCTGTGGGAGCCGGTCGGCCGAGTGGACAGCACGCTGGACTTGTGATCCTGTGGTCCTGGGTTCGATCCCAGGCGCCGGCGAGAAACAATGGGCAGAATTTCTTTCACCCTATGCCCCTGTTACCTAGCAGTAAATTAGGTACCTGGGTGTTAGTCAGCTGTCACGAGCTGCTTCCTGGGGGTGGAGGCCTGGTCGAGGACCGGGCCGCGGGGACACTAAAGCCCCGAAATCATCTCAAGATAACCTCAAGATACCCTAACACCGCCCTCAGTCTCTCACATACCCTAACACAGCCCTCAGTCTCTCACATACCCAAACACAGCCCTCAGTCTCTCACATGTATCTATTGCTACCCAATCTCCCAATCTTTATGTACCCAATCTGAACATCTTTATCATTGCGATCATTGCTGTCTTCTTATATGTACTGTCAATCTGCTGTATGGTGTCTATTAATCTTGTTTAAATTACCAATCAAACTGTCAATGTAATCAATCAGTGCTTTAATATACTTACTAATCTCTCTCATCTCATTTTTTTTTCTTGCAATGTATTTGTTATCATTTTATTAATTCTGATAGAATTTACCTACTTAAAATTATCTGTTAGATTAAGGACCTGCCCGAAACGCAGCGCGTACTAGTGGCTTTACAAGAGTGCAATTACTGTACCATGCTATGTATTCTCACAAACCCAATGTACCTTCTTGTATATAAATAAATAAATAAATAAATAAACATACCCAAACACCGCCCTCAGTCTCTCACATACCCAAACACCGCCCTCAGTCTTTCACATACCCAAACACCGCCCTCAGTCTCTCACATACCCAAACACCGCCCTCAGTCTTTCACATACCCAAACACAGCCCTCAGTCTCTCACATACCCTAACACAGCCCTCAGGCCGCATACTCCAGGATTGAAATTACATATGTTGTATACAAGATTCTGAAGAATTCCAGACACAGGTTTCTGAAAGCAGTTCTGATGTTAGCCAGTCTCGCATAGGCTCCTGAGGGTATTCTTTTGATGTGGAGCTTCAGGAGACAGGTTTGGCGTGATATCAACTCCTAGATCTTTCTCCCTGTCCGTTTCTTGAAGGACATCCTTTCCCATTCGGTATCCTGTGTCTGGCCTCCTATTTCCTCCTCCTAGTTTCATTACCTTAAATTTTCTTGGGTTGAACTTTAGTAGCCATTTGTTGGATCTTCAGTTTGTCTAGGTCATCTTGTAGCTTCATACTAAGTTCCTCTGTCTTGATCCTCCTCATAAGTTTTGAATCATCAGCAAACATTGAGAGGAACGAGTCTATTCCTTCTGGGAGATCATATACGTATATCAGAAACAGTATAGGTCCAAGGACTGATCCCTGTGGGACTCCACTGGGGACTTCTCGCCACTCCGAGACCTCACCCCTCACACTGACCGCTGTGTCCTGTTGCTTAGGTTCTCCCTTATCCAGTAGAGTACCTTCCCTTTCACTCCTGCCTGCATCTCCAGTTTGTGTACTAGTCTCTTCTAGATACTGTGTCAAAGGCTTTCTGGCAGTTTAGAAATATGCAGTCTGCCCAGCCCTCTCTCCCTCTTGCCTAATTTTTGTTGCCTGGTTATTGAACTCAATTAAACCTGTTAGGCATGATTTGCCATCTCTGAACCAATGCTGATGTTGTGTTACAAAGTTCTTTCGCTCAGATGTTCTGCTAGTTTTTTTCGCACAATCTTCTCCATCATCTTGCATGGAATGCAAGTTAGGGACACTGGCCTGTGGTTTAGATCCTCCTGCCTATCACCCTTCTTGTAAATTGGGACTACATTGGCCGTCTTCCAAAATTTTGCCAGTTCACCTGTTACCAGTGATTTGTTGTACACCATGGAGAGTGGCAGGCACAGAGCTTCTGCTCCTTCCTTTAGAATCCATGGTGAGATTCCATCCGGACCTATAGCCTTTGTCACATCCAAATCTTGCAGATGCTAACTCACCTCCCCACTAGTAATCACAAACTCCTCTAGTGGTGTCTGGTTTGATATTCCCTCTTTTATCTCTAGGAATTCTACTTGCTCTGAGGTGAAGACATCCTGGAATTTTTTATTGAGTTCCTCACACACTTCCTTGTCATTTGTAGTGAATCTTTCTGCCCCTGTCCTCAGTTACATTACTTTTTCCTTCACTATTGTTTTCCTCCTGATGTGGCTATGCAGCAGTTTGGGTTGAGTCTTTGCCTTGCTCGCTATGTCATTTTCATATTGCCTCTCTACCTCTCTTCTCACCCTGACGTATTCATTCCTGGCGCTCTGGAATCTTTCTCTGCTCTCTAATGTTCTGTTGTTTCTATAGTTTCTCCAAGCCCTTTTACTTAGTTTCTTTGCTAGCTTACATCTCTGATTAAACCAATCTCCGCGGTGTAGTGGTAAGACACTCGCCTGGCGTTCCGCGAGCACTTTGTGATTGGTTTGTATCCTGGCCGGGGAGGATTTACTGGGCGCAAATCCTTAACTGTAGCCTCTGTTTAACTCAACAGTAAAATGTGTACTTGGCTGTAAAAACGATTCTTCGTGGCAGGGACCAACACAACCGGACAAAAGAGTATGGTAGCCGAGGCTATCTCCATCCCCCTGCCGGCACTCGGTTGGTAATCTTGGGCATGGTATTTTATCAAATCACCTCATTCTTTGGGGCACACGTGAGGAACACAAATGCGAACAAGCCTGAATGGCTTGTTTCAAGCCATTCAAGCTTGAAATGAAATATAGAAATTCCAACCCTGAATTTCAGTTGCATATAGTCCTGGGGACCATTCAGGCTTATTCACATTTGTGTTCCTCACGTGTGCCCCAAAGAATGAGGTGATTTGATAAAATACAATGCCCAAGATTACCAACCGAGTGCTGGCGGGGGGGATGGAAATAGCCTCGGCTACCATCCTTTTTTATCCGGTCGAGTTGGTCGAGCGGTTAAGAGATCCTGTACGCCAGAAGTGTGCTCCTGACAGTATGGGTTCGAGTCACTTCTGGGGTGTGAGTTTTCAGTTGCATATAGTCCTGGGGGACCATTCAGGCTTGTTTGCATATACATATATATATATATATATATATATATATATATATATATATATATATATATATATATATATATATATATATATATATAGTTCTATCAGGGCATTTTCTTCTGTAATGTTGTCAATGTTGGCTTGTTACATTGAATACTCACACCCTAGGGGAATGCCAGACCAGAGCTGTTTTAACTTCAGCATGTCTGCTGCTGCCTGGCTAACTGTTTTCGCAGCAGCCTTTCCTGCGGTGGGTGTTTTTGGCACTGGTGGGGAGGGGTACCTGGATGTCCTCTCTTGGAAAAGTATTTAAAGCCCTAATGACTGAAGAGGCTAGTGATTTTCCGTACAGGGACAGCTAGGCATATGTTACCAAACAGGAGGAGGTTGCGTCATCCTTGGATGGTTCCGGGAGAGTCATTAACCTTTTTCAAGAGGCTGGATAGTTTGGCTGCCGCTTGGGTGCGGCCAGTTTTGGGGATGTGCTGCATGGTTTCAACCAATGTCACTTTGATGGCTTCTAGTAGGTTCTCTGTCGAAATGAGGCTGTTGGAGGTGTTTTCCTTAACTGCTGGTGAAGGGCGTTGATTGATGTTTTTTTTGGGGGGGGCGCCACGGCCCGGACACTGGGTTCCGTTGTGGCAATGTTTACCCACATCACCGTTATGCTTGAGATACAACACCTATATATACTGATAAAATATATCATATTTACACTCATTTATATTTAAAAGTCCGAAATGTCATATGTGAGTGTATTTATTGATGGTTGTGCATGTGGTATGAACACGGGTACTAACTGGTGGCTACGCGTTTGGTATGAACACGGGTACTAACTATTGATCGACCTGCAGACAGACTGCCAGAATTGCCAGACTCGCTATCAATGCGCGAAAGCAGGCTGTTTGAAGAACAAAGGACGTTGACTCCCAGCTTGGCCCAGAGCAGCAACAGTATGGGGTCGCCCTTGGCCCAGAGCAACAACAGTATGGGGTCGCCCTTGGCCCAGAGCATCAACAGTATGGGGTCGCCCTTGGCCCAGAGCATCAACAGTATGGGGTCGCCCTTGGCCCAGAGCAACAACAGTATGGGGTCGCCCTTGGCCCAGAGCAACAACAGTATGGGGTCGCCCTTGGCCCAGAGCAACAACAGTATGGGGTCGCCCTTGGCCCAGAGCAGCAACAGTATGGGGTCGCCCTTGGCCCAGAGCAACAACAGTATGGGGTCGCCCTTGGCCCAGAGCATCAACAGTATGGGGTCGCCCTTGGCCCAGAGCATCAACAGTATGGGGTCGCCCTTGGCCCAGAGCAACAACAGTATGGGGTCGCCCTTGGCCCAGAGCAACAACAGTATGGGGTCGCCCTTGGCCCAGAGCAACAACAGTATGGGGTCGCCCTTGGCCCAGAGCAACAACAGTATGGGGTCGCCCTTGGCCCAGAGCATCAACAGTATGGGGGTCGCCCTTGGCCCAGAGCATCAACAGTATGGGGTCGCTCTTGGCCCAGAGCAACAACAGTGTTAGGATTAAGTACTACAGACGTTAAGTGTAGCATGTTTTGAGCAGATGCTCTTTTGTTTATGCTCTTGTTTATAACTTTGTAAATAGTAAGTTTTGTAACGTATACCTGGACGTCATTGTTGTTGTGGTTGAGAATAAACTATGTGTTTACGAAATTGTTTCTCTTTCGGCCTAAACATATATATCACATATATATAAAAAAAAAGTTTCAAAAACTGTTGGCATTCTTTCTAAGATCATATATTATGAACCTCGCCTGCCCTGGTGACACTCTATTACTCTCTCATCTATCCTTATCTTAACTATGGTATTTGTGCTTGGGGTTCTACTACCCAAAATCATTTACGTCCTCTAATTACTCAACAACACAAGGCTGCTATTAGGACAATTTCTAACTCTGGCCCCAGACATCACTCGGTACCCTTACTCAAATCTCTGAATATGTTAAATATTAAGTCACTGCACATCCTCTCATGTGTATTTTATATATATAAAACGCTGAACTGTAATGTCAATCCTGACCTTAAAAGCTTCCTAGAAGGTTGTAACAGATCTCATGAGCACCACACCAGAAATAAATACCTATTTGATATTCCAAGAGTACGACTTAGTCAAACTAGAAATGCTTTACAAATCAAGGGACCTCGAATGTGGAATGACCTTCCCAATTATGTTAAAGACTGTACCTCTCCCAACCAATTTAAGATAAAAACTAAGTACCACCTAATTAACTCAATGTAACCTACCTCACCCCTAAATGTCAACCCATGTCTACGATTTTTAACAATGCTGTTTGTTGACCAAATTGTACTTTTGCTTTTTCTGCCATGTTTCCCCCCCCCTTTTTCATTTTTATCTGATTTTTTCACAACACAATTTGTACTTTAATCTAAGTTAGTATTAAGTTTTAGTCTTAGTGTTTTTCCTGCCCGAAACGCTTTGCGTAATAGTGGCTTCAGGCATTGTATGTACTAGCTCTATCTTTTACTCCATCAACTTTTGTATTTCACCTTGTATGTATGTACTTTACCTGAATAAATATTTGTATTTGTAAACCTAACTGTGGCGACGAGGATTATTAAACACCTAAGGCAGAGAGCCCGGCTACAAGACGAGGTGTGAGGATCAGTCTTACGTGGGATATGTGAGGCTATGGTCCCACGTGAGGCTATGGTCTCATGAGAGGCTGTGGTTCCATGTGCAGCTATGGTCCCGTGTGAGGTTATGGTCCCATGTGAGGCTATTGTCCCATGAGAGGCTGTGGTTCCATGTGCAGCTATGGTCCCGTGTGAGGCTATGGTCCCATGTGAGGCTATGGTCCCATGTGAGGCTATGGTCCCATGTAAGGCTATGGTCCCATGTGAGGCTATGGTCCCGTGTGAGGCTATGGTCCCATGTGAGGCTATTGTCCCATGTGAGGCTATGGTCCCATGTGAGGCTATGGTCCCATGTGAGGCTATGGTCCCATGTGAGGCTATGGTCCCATGTGTGGCTGTAGTCCCATGTGAGGCTATGGTCCCATTGTAACGGGAGTGGGGGAAATAGCTCTATCTTGTCCATTATTCCACCCCCCCCAGTTAACTAACGAGGCCGGGGGAAACAGCTCTCTCTAGTCCGTTATGCCGTCCCCAGTTAGCTAACTATTCTAGAGCACTCCCAGAGTTCCTAAGACAACCTCTCTCGTTCAACACCTTGTAACCTAAGTATTTGACTACCTAGGTGCTAAGACTACAAGGCGCCGTAACTTGATCAGTTACCTGAAACCCTAGAGAGAACTCTAGAATACATTTCACTGCCACAAACGTATAAGAGGAAACGAAAGGAAAGAAATGGATAGTGAAGTAATTAGTGAGGGTTTGGGGTGAGAGAGGTAGAGAGGTGGGAGGAGCGAGGAGGGTCATTAATTGAAAGTGAGAGTTTAGAGAGGGGTGGAGGGAGAGGTGTAGATAGGTAGAAGTAGAAGACGAAATGCTGCCACCATCCATTCACGATCATTACATACAAGACAAGGAATGGAACTTGTCTGTATCACAAAATTCTCAAAAGATGCTATCAAGGTCATTATTAGTATGTCCCATCTTTATCATGTACTCAGTAAAATCAGGGAACCAATAATCCCAGAGGCTTTCTCACCTCAACTCAACTCTAGGGGACACAAAGGCAATTTAAATAATAAATTCAATTATATTTCACATACTAAGTATCATAATTTAAGCAATGTTCAAGATCTATATATGTAAAGTGAGTCATCCTCCAAGAATCTGAGAACACTACAACTGACTGCCCCTGATCATCACACAACACTTGTAAAACACGACCAAGTCACCTTAATGTTCAACTCACCAAGTGTCTGCCTATAGCTGGATAGAGGGGGGGTTTCTATAGTTGAGCAGAGACTGTCCCGCCCTGCCGGCCGACAGCCTCCCTTCTAGGGCCGTCTTCTCTGCTCTGCTGACTGCCGTTCTGTCTGTCTTGTTAATGCTCTCGAATCGATAGCTCTCCGAGTATATATTGGGGAACCTAGTAGTTAACTCCGCCCACAAGTAGATAGCCTCCGGCTCTCTACCAAGCCACTCCTTAAACGTCGGCATGTTTGAAGGCTACCAGGCTCCAATTATAAGATTAGTAGAAGTAAGGTGAAATTCGCATGATCTGACCTCAGGTCACTTGGGGTCATTAACTCTTAGAGGTGTGAAACTCAGGCCGACCAAGCTTGCGCCTTCTCAAATTCCTGTCTCTGACTCATATACTATATATATTTTAAATAAATTAAACCAAAGACTTTACAGTGTTACACCATGTGAGGCTATGGTCCCATGTGAGGCTATGGTCCCATGTGTGGCTGTAGTCCCATGTGAGGCTATGGTCCCATGTGAGGCTATGGTCCCATGTGAGGCTATGGTCCCATGTGAGGCTATGGTCTCCTTTGGGTCAGGGGAACTCAAGTTCGTATGTCGGGCAGGGACCCCCATGAGGTAAGCTCTCTTATGAGGCAGGGGCCTCTGTGACCTGCGGGTCCTATGTGAGGCACGGGTGTCCCTATGAGGTGAGGGATCCCTGTGAGATGAGTACTTCTGCAATTCTAATTTTATTAATATTTGAAATGTGTTTGGGAATGTCCATAATAATTAGCACATCCTGTATGATAGTAATATCTGGTTATCTGCATTGGTTTGGCTCTTTATTTTCAGTCCAGCTGAACTGTGGTAACAAAATGATTGTGATAAGCAAATATTTGTAATATTAGGTACCCAAAGCGAAGCATTATTGGTTAGTTAAAAGTGAGAAGAGTCGAGAAGTGCATGCCTGCTGGAGCACTCCACCATCACTACCTGCTGGAACACGTCTGCAATACTACCTGCTTGTAACACACCTGCACCATCCCCCTGTTGAAGGCCGGTACAGTATCCTACAAGTGACAGGAGACATATGAGGCGAGGGTCGGGGAACCAAGTCAGCATCATGAAAGGTTGGCTGACTGTAGTGACTGTGATGGTGGGGATGTCCACGATGGCCGACGGTCGCCACACGCAGAACACAGACTACGGCATTAAAAAGGTAGTTGCTGCAGCTCAAGGCTACAGGAATGAAGTGTCAACTGCTGTAAAAGACTACAAGGAAATAGCTGCTGCTGTAGAAGCATATGACAACAGGAAGGTAGTCCCAGCACTACAAGTCTATGACAACAGGAAGGTAGTCCCAGCACTACAAGTCTATGACAACAGGAAGGTAGTCCCAGCAGCACAAGTCTATGACTACAGGAAGGTAGTCCCTGCAGCACAAGCCTACAGTCACGGCGTTCATCATTTCCTCGCACGGGCTCTCGGCCATCCAATGCAGGTTAGGCAAATATTGTTTTCATACGTTCGCAATTAAGTGAAATTAGGTATGAATGGTTAATCCTGTTAAGTGCTGAGGTTATTGCATTATTCCTGTTTTGGTGAACACGAAACTAGGATTATGACATGTTTCATGACGTCTGAAATGTAGATTTATATAAAAAGTTTTAAAACTATGTTAATGACCGAACGATGTGAGGGAGAAGGGAGGGAGGGAGGGGGGGGGGTGAGGTGAGGTGAGGGAGAGAGCAAAGTGGAGCGGTGGTGGGGGGTGGGGTGGGGGGGGACAGGTGGACGGGTGATAAGACTAGGCGACTAGGGCTAGGGTGATCCACCTGCCTAGTGCGGTGGTAGGATAGTTCAGGGGGAGGGAGGGAGGGGTGAGAGTAGTGACGTTTGGCGGGGGAGGAGATTGTAGGCAGGTAATGGAACACTTTACTTACTTATAAAGTATATTTATATAAGAATTACTTAAATCCTACAGTTTAAAATATCTGTTTATGCCCATAGAGTTTATTTTCGTTAAGAATGTAGAGGCGACCTTGAATTTCCCCATTTGGTTTCTTTAACAAACTTCCATGAACATATTTTTTCTGAAAAAAAATCTCTTAAACGTGCAAGGCACAATAGTAAGCAAATCTCTGCATATTTTTTTCCTGGAAATGGTGGGGCACAGCAAGGATTTTCGGTCTGAATTTCCCCCATTAGAAACCTTTAAGTCCAAATGAAGGATTTTTGCCTCGAATTTCCCCCCCCGAAAGAAACCTTTAGGTCCATATAAAAAAAAGACCACATGGCAGCCATCCCTACTACTGCCGTGGTCTACGGAGTGTGTCTGGGCGGACCCAGAGAATATCCTACTGATTATATAATTAAATGTTTTGCTAATTGAATTAATGCTTAATACTAACAGTATTACAATTAATATATCTGTATCTTATATATGTTTTCTTCTTCCCAGTGTAAAGGAAAATGTTATAAAGTAGTGGGTGATGAGTGCCTGTGGCGTCACTCCTGTGGCATCCCGCCCCTCCTCCCTCCAGCCTAACACCAGCCACACCACGCCTACACCAGCCACACCACGTGTACACCAGCCACACCACGTGTACACCAGCCACACCACGCCTACACCAGCCACACCACGACTACACCAGCCACACCACGCCTACACCAGCCACACCACGCCTACACCAGCCACACCACGCCTACACCAGCCACACCACGCCTACACCAGCCACACCACGCCTACACCAGCCACACCACGCCTACACCAGCCACACCACGTCTACACCAGCCACACCACGTGTACACCAGCCACACCACGCCTACACCAGCCACACCACGACTACACCAGCCACACCACGCCTACACCAGCCACACCACGCCTACACCAGCCACATCACGCCTACACCAGCCACACCACGCCTACACCAGCCACACCACGCCTACACCAGCCACACCACGTGTACACCAGCCACACCACGTGTACACCAGCCACACCACGTGTACACCAGCCACACCACGCCTACACCAGCCACACCACGTGTACACCAGCCACACCACGTGTACACCAGCCACACCACGCCTACACCAGCCTGAGGACGTGTATACCAGCCTGAGGACGTGTACACCAGCCTGAGGACGTGTACACCAGCCTGAGGACGTGTACACCAGCCTGAGGACGTGTACACCAGCCTGAGGACGTGTACACCAGCCTGAGGACGTGTACACCAGCCTGAGGACGTGTACACCAGCCTTAAGACGTGTGCACCAGCGTTAAGACGTGTACACCAGCCTTAAGACGTGTACACCAGCCTTAAGATTGCATGAGCCATCTATACGACTCATCCACTAACCTAAGGATATCAATGACAGGATAAAGGCTAGTCATATATTCCTGCCAAAGGACGAGAACAAAAATGGACTTTTATCAAACACCTGAAGACGCCCACCCATGCCTGTGTATACCTCTCGTATGTGCAAGTGTCATATGTACTCCTGCCGAGTGTACAGATGCCATGACTCTCCGTATGTGTCCCATGTGTACAACTGCCATGTGTGCTGTGCATAGCGGTACCTACCTGAACTGTAATGCCAATCCTGACCTCAAAAGCTTCATTGAATGTTGTAACAGACCCCATGAGCAACACACCAGAAACAAATACAGTTTTGATATTCCAAGAGTAGACTTAATCAAACTAGAAATGCTCTACAAATCAAGGAACCCAGAATGTGGAATGACCTTCCCAATTATGTTAAAGACTGTACCTCTCTCAACCAGTTTAAGATAAAAACTAAGTACTACCTAATAAATTCCCTGTAACCTACCTTACCCCTATATTGTCAACCTATGTCTGTTTTTTTAAACAATGCTGTCTGTCGACCTAATTGTATTTGTGCTGCTTTTTCTGCCATGTTCCGCCCTTTTTTTATTTTTATTTGTTCTCAACACATTTTATACTTTAATCTCAATTAGTATTAAGTTTTAGTCTTTAATGTTTTTCCTGCTCGAAACGCTTTGCGTAATAGTGGCTTCAGGCATTGTATGTACTAGCTCTATCTATAAATCCATCAACTCTTGTAAAACCTCTTGTATGTATGTACTTTACCTGAATAAACATTTATTTATTTATTTATTTATTATGTGTGTGTACCTTTATGTACAGGTGAAGGTTATCTCTGATCACTATTGCTACTATTGAATAATAAATACAACGTAATGAATATAGTACTGGAATAAAAATGTATTAATTCACTGTGTCTGGGGACAAGCAGCCAGTAAATATATTCATGTTAGGCTTTTGTCGAGGTCCCCAATTAATATTTTTGCACTGAGATTAAAGTATAATTGTTATTGATGTATTCCTAAACATTCTTCGAGTGAAAAACAGAAACCGACAATACAGTGAAGACACCAAACATCTGATATAATAACTTTAAATGAAAACCTAAAATTCTCTCTTCACAAGATGATGACAGCCTAGGACTTACGCAGGTGGGAAACTGAGGCACCATCCTGAACAGTTGATTGTTAAAATCGTGTTGAGAGCAGAGAATAATGGCAATGATAATTCAAAGCAAAAGAGTCAGGTATACGACATGGATTCCTCCCTTGTAAACTACATGTTTTACTTTCTAACCAACGACGATACAAATTACAACTTCGAAACATTGTTAGACCATAATCTGCTGTAGTATGTTTCCTCTTGTCATAAGTGTTGTTACGGGAATATGAACACTGTGTGTTCCTTGATCACACGAGGATGTGAACATTGTGTTGATTGATCACACGAGGATATGAACACTGTTGGTTGATCACACGAGGATATGAACACTGTTGGTTGATCACACGAGGATATGAACACTGTTGGTTGATCACACGAGGATATAAACACTTGGTTGATCACACGAGGATATAAACATTGTGTTGGTTGACCATAGAGAGGAAATACTTGCTGTATCTTAGGCACAAACCCCTTCTCCGAAGAGCTGGATGAGGTCTTCCAACAGTGATCTTTATATATGTGTGTGTTTTGTGTAAATATATATATATATATATATATATATATATATATATATATATATATATATATATATATATATATATATATATATATATATTAAGATAAATAGGAAAACCAGGGATATACTGAACATCTTGTTTCAGAATCTTTACTTTAAAATGCATAACGTTTCGAATACTTCTCGTATTCATCATCAGATCTAAAAGAAAAAACAGAAATCACAATCAAATAGCTGGTAAACAAAGAACTCATACTGAATATAATTGCCTATCAAAGAAAGGAAAATGCTTAAAAAACAAAAGGCTCTTATTTTAATTTAATATTTTATCATAGGCTCTTATTTTAAATTTAAAGATAAAGTGCCTACCCCCTTGTGCTCAAATGTCGTATATATGTATAATTGTTCCAGCTGTAATGCTGGATATGTCGGGAGTTCCATTCGGAACTTTAAGATTAGGATACTTGAGCACCGGGGATTATCTTTTAGGACTGGATTACCATTGTCTAAACCAGCATTTTCGGAGATTAGAAACCATTGTTATGAGTTTGATCATTCTCTGCTGGAATCTGATTTTAAAATTCTGGACACTTGTATGAATGGCCAGTCAGATTTGAGAGTAATGGAATCCTTATATATAAAGGAGCGGCGGCCTCTGTTAAATAGCAACCTTTCAGCTGTTCAATTGTACACTGTATAGTGCACAGTAGGCCCTGTAATTTGATTTTTAGTTCATTTTGGTAGTTTAATTTTTTGTTTCGTTTACCATGTCTTTGCCCTTTCTTACTTATTTCAAGTCTTGACATTGTACATTAATATAATCTTTTATTTAGGATATATAATACATTTTTTGGTATTTAATTTTATTTAATATTTGAGTTTTTATAAGATTTTGGTTAGTACTTTATAATTGTCGTTTATTCTGTTTGTATTTTACATACATTTTTTGTAGATTTGTAGTCATTATATAAATATTTGTTATAGTGTTTAGTATCTATGTGTTAGGTATCAAGTTTCACTTCTGATCACTTCACGTAAGTTTAATAGAATGGTTTGTTTTAGTAGTTATAAATTTCATCTTGTAGTTTAATGGATTTTAAATTAGTTTTAATATATGTGACAGTTAATAAGTTTTATTTGTATTGATCACTTTAAGTGCGCTTAAGTGTTTTGTTTTTTAAGCATTTTCCTTTCTTTATTTAGAAATAAGAGCAATATGCACAGACAGTACAAAACGTTCAACACAATTAGGCTGGTATGTTTTTTTACAGCACTCTTTATTTTTTTTAGTTTTGTTTTATACACAAGAGTTCTTACATTCTTGTACAGCCAGCAGTACGCATAGCGTTTTATGCAGGTCCTTAATCCTAATTTTCCCCTGGAATACGACTTGCCAAATCGTTTAACAAGCAGGTACTCATTTTACTGTTGGGTGAACAGAGGCTACAGTTAAGGATTGGTGCCCAGTGAATCCTACCCGGCCAGAATACGAACCCAGGCCAAAGCCCTCGCGAAAGCCAGGCGAGTATGTTACCACTTCGCCACGGGGACTGTTGTAAAAGTGTTTCTGTTAATTATTGTTTGCTTTAACTTTCCATATAAAACTTACAGTTTTTCATCTAATAATTTATCTGTTTATTCATTATGTTTGTGTCAGCGACGATATATATATATATTTTTTAATCTTCTCGGAAATACTTTCCTAATTAGTAATTTTAATGTTTTTGTTTTTGGGGGAAACGATAAAACAAAACATTAAAATTGTTATTTGTGACAATGTTTTCGAGAACAAAAAATATATATCGTCGTTGACACCAATTACTGAACCAACAATTAAGACCAGGAAGAGATTTATCTCTAATTTGGTACTTATCAATGAGTCGATTATGTCCACGATATCGTTGGGAGAAAATGTATATATAAAATATAATTACCAGGATTCTGCGTCGGACAGCTATCTCATACACGATAATGATAATGGATGTAACCGAGGCTTGTTCCTGGACATGATTATTTTTTTGATGATTCCTCATAATCTTGCGCTATAAATGGTGTTAGAAGCGAGGAATAAGGCCATGTTTGGTGATGTGTACAGAACTCGCTCGTCATGAGGCCATACTGATAAGGAAAGCTTTTTCACTCTTCCAGTCGGCTTTTGGCGCTCTCTAACGGTCTCTGACGCTCTCTAACGGTCTCTGACGCAGAGTTAAAAACTCTGAAACAATCAGAGTTTCGTCAGATAGTCTCTGACGAAACGTGAGGTTCCCTGCCTCAGTGTCTCTGATAGCACTCTGGCTCCTCTGGACATCTTCCCTACACGTTGCTTCCTGTAACTATTCTGTATAACGGCTTGTAGCGCCTATAGCTAACTACGAGCTATGCCAGTACATATGGCGACCTAATTACCTGTTCTGGCGCTACTTAGCATCATTCACACCATGATTTGGACAATGATTCAAAAAGATTCAGACCTTGAGTCACAATCATTACTCTATCAAAGATGTCAGATAATTAAGATCATCATACAGACCATTATTCGTATTATGATGTAGATTGGTTCAGACAAAGCCTCAACCATAATTTAATTTAAGATTTTAAACCATGATTAAAGCAATTATTTAAATCA